ATCTTGTCCTGTCACTGCAATTCCTAACCAAGAGTCCCTCTGCAGCTTCCCTGGAGCCCCTTCAGCTCCTGGCAGGTTGCTCTGAGGTCTCCACACAACCTTCTCTTCTCCAGGCTGAACAGCCCCAATTCTCTCCATAGGGAAGATGGTCCAGTCCTCTGGTAGCTTTGTGGCCTCCACTGGACTTGCTCCAACAGTTCCATGTCCTTCTGTCTGTTGGGGACACCAGAACTGTGTGCAGCCCTCCAGGTGGGGCCTCACAGGAGCAGAGCAGAGGGGAAGAAATATGGTCATAGAATCAGAGATGATATTATTATGTAGCTTAAATATTAATCCTTTTAATTATTAATCCTTGTTTAATTATTTTAAATTGTTAATCCCCTAGATATTATTTCTCAAGGGAAAAAATGCCATTGGCCGAGCAGAATGAAAGTAATTTCCTTTGCCTGAGGCAACTTCAGCATTCATGGGGACTCCAATATCATCTGAATAAAATATATGTATGTTTTTGTGCATCAGAACAGTTGATATGTCTTTGAATTTAAACACAGAGATGTCCTCTTGAACTTCTGGTTTAGGTCCTTTGGCTGCTGAGTTTTGATGATGACAAGAACACATTGGCAGATGCAGTAGACAAGTACTGCATTGGTGTTCCTCCCATCCAGTGGCTGGCCTGGATCCCACAGCTGCTGACATGCCTGGTTGGCTCCGAGGGCAAACTCCTCCTCAACCTCATCAGTCAGGTACAGAACATAATCACACATTTCTTTCTCTCTCTCTCTTCACAACATTAAAATGTGCCTTTGAAGACACTGTGCTCCCAAGTAGCTTAAGAAAGCAAATTAGCTGAGGCAAACTTGGATGTGTGTGGCCTGGTATTGTCTTTTGATAAAACAAAACCTATTTCAACAACTTGTAAACACTTTATTTAGATCTGTATAAAATGTTTATAAGTGAGTGCTTGCTTGGAAGTCATCCTGGAGTTGGAGCTTAGACTGATAAATATCACAGATACTCCGGTTTCTCTTGCCTTTAAACTTCAGGGCCATAGAAGGAATATAAAATTTTAAAATGCTGATTCTTGTAGATTGTGTTATTGTAGACTGTTGTAATACTGAAGACTATATTGTAATATATTGTCATTGTAATTATTGTGTTATTGTAGACTATTTAAAAAGTCTGCAATTCTCTTCAAATATCCTTTGAATTACGGCATGAAGCATAATGTTAGTGGATCTGCCATAAATATCACATTACTGAACAGTTCAATCACACTGCAAAATTCCTCCCACTTACCATACCCATTTGGATGCAGAAAGGATCCATGGGTTCATAGGATTGTACCTGGAGAAGCCTCAAATGGTGCCATAAACTGTGCTCTTATTATGGGTAGTAGGCACATGGTTTCTTTCCTTTAATAGCTACTGAAATTTACAGATTTTAAAGGAGGTGCTGAATGTCAACATCTCTTTAGCTTTTTTTCTTCCCTAATGGTGAAAGTGTTTTTATTTTTGGGTGCAGTTGGTATCCCCTTACAGTAATTGCAACAATTAGGGAGGGTAAAGTTACTGTCTAATGGACTTTCTTATCAATTATCATAGGGCTTGCTGGGAGTTGTGGCCTAGTTTAAGGACTAACCACTGTCATTATGGCTGTTTTCCTTCCGTTATGCACATGAGTAAGATCTTTGAGCTGGCCCAGCTGGTGTTCTGACGTGATGCTGCTTTCAGGTTTATTAGGCAATATGATCTGGAAGCCTTAATTAGGAAATGCCTTCATAGTGTGTGTTGGATGTTAGCATTTCATCCTCCTCCAAAGAATCATTTCCATAAGCTGTTGTTTCATACAAGGAGCTGATTATTAGCAATTTGTACTCATTTGCAAGACAATCTATGCATTGATGTGCTCTGTATTCCTTAACCGAGAAGTAAGTGTATGTGTGTCTCCAAATAGGTGGGAAGAGTCTACCCCCAAGCTGTCTACTTCCCTATCAGGACCCTCTATTTGACCTTGAAAATAGAGCAGCGAGAGCGCTACAAGAGCGGTGAGTTGGATCATCACTTGGACTTTTTGTAACTCATTATTTGGAGTTACAGCTGATTTTACTGAGAACACATCCTCTAGAAAACATACCAACTTAGGAAAAAAACTCTTGATAAATAATTTTCTTCTTAAGGAGGAAAATTCTTGATTAACTTTGCTCACATTGATTTGTTTCTGTGAAGTTAAATCTACAGATGCCTTGAATTTTCTTGTATGAAATATTCACCAAAAGTTTCATCTCCTTCATTCTCATGTTCTTTACCGGATATTTCTCTTCATAAATTTGTGGAGAACCAGAAAATTCTTGGTTTATAAGTCATAGAACCATCAAGGTTGGAGGAGACCTCTAAGGTCAAGTCCAACCATTAATTTGCCATTCCACTGTAACCCCTAAACCATATAAATACAGGAGAATGTTATAGTTTCCTAAGATGTTCTAGTCTTATTTCACTGGGAGCATGAATCATGCAACATTCAGTTTGCTTTCAAATGAGCCACTCTTGGAAAAATAATGTCCTCATAGGAACTTCATATGGTGAATTACAAAGTGAAATGAGCATCTAAGTTTACACAAAAACAAATCCATGTAGGCTTTGAGAAATGTTTGGGAGATGGAGAGAACATCCAGGAACTTGCACAACACTTTTTTTTCCCCAGAACAAATCATATTTAGAATAGTTGTATCAAATGATTCCACAGAATTTAGTTTTCTTTTGTCCCATATGATTTCCTGGGAGTCCCAGAAGAGCTACCGGAAGAACTCTTCCTTCAGTTGTGTTCTTTATTACCAAGTGCATTGTTTATTTATTATTTATTATGTGCCCTTCCCACTTGGGAAGGACAATTCAGTACATTTCTGCATAAAAATTTGAAGGGCACTAATTAAATGCTGATTTGTTTTTCTTTGGCTGCTCCTTTGCAGGAGGAGGAGATGCTTTGTTGCCACATGCACATCTATAATAACCAGTAAAATATTTCCCTGTAGGTTCTGCCCAAACTGCAGCTGTGTGGGTGGTTGTGTGAGTTAGAGAGGGTCATCTGATAAAGCAGAACTCTGCTTCATCACTGTTGTCATGCAAGAGATGTATTGTACTAAAAGGTATGCTGACAATTTGTTGTTGCCATTAGTATATTATTCAGTTGTGTGTGAAGGATCTCCCCAAAAGAGAGGGGAAGAAAACACCATAATTCAAGGATTTGATCCTGTAGGAAACAACATGAGTTACTTCAAGACTAAGTATCCTTTTAAAGGTAAGGTGAAAGCTAAGGCTGCACCTCCTGCGTAGTTTTGAGGACTGTTTATTTTGCTTTAATGTTGGGAAGTCTGTGCAACTAAACAACATTTGGAGCAGAATTTTCACTGTAAAAACTCCAAATTTTCTTTCTAAAACCCCCCAAGTTTTCTGAAATTCAATAGGCAGCACATGATTAATATTTAATGTAGAAGCCAGTTCTTGGAACAGTTTATTTGGTTTCATACAGGTATGCATGGAGTTTATGAAAAGCAATACTTTTCTTTCAAAATTTCACTTTGCAAATTAGGCAATTCTTGTTTTCTTTTGAATTTTCCCTTTACAGATTCTGGGCAGCAGCAGCCAAGCTCAGTGGGCAGCCAGTCCCACTCTGCCTCAGACCCTGGGCCCATCAGAGCCACTGCCCCCATGTGGAGATGTAGCAGGATTATGCACATGCAGAGGGAATTGCATCCAACACTTTTATCTTCTCTGGAAGGCATTGTAGATCAGATGGTGTGGTTCAGGGAGAACTGGCATGAAGAGGTATTTGGCTTTAATTACACCTTCATATGTATCACCTAAGGAAAAGTTCACTGCAAATTATTTATCCGGAATTAATTTTAAACATTAAAATAGGATTACAGAATGGGTCAAGTTGGAAGGGACTGCATCCAACACTTTTATCTTCTCTGGAAGGCATTGTAGATCAGATGGTGTGGTTCAGGGAGAACTGGCATGAAGAGGTATTTGGCTTTAATTACACCTTCATATGTATCACCTAAGGAAAAGTTCACTGCAAATTATTTATCCGGAATTAATTTTAAACATTAAAATAGGATTACAGAATGGGTCAAGTTGGAAGGGACCACAATGGGTCATCTGGTCCGGTCCCTGGGCAATCTGTTCAGTTCCACCACTGAGTAGACCCTGATCCATCTTTGCACCTTCAGATACTTGAATACATCAGTGAGGTCCCTCTTAGTTGTCTCGTCTTGAGGCTGAACAGGCCCACCTCCCTCAGCCTTTCCTCATCACTGAGGTGCTCCAGTCCCTTCAGCATCTTCATTGCCCTCCACGGGACCTGCTTCAGGAGCTCCACATCCCTTTGGTCCTGAGGAGTCCAGAACTGGACACAGCACTCCAGATGTGACATCATGAGGGCTGAGCAGAAAACTATTTGTTTTAATTAGTAAACTGATATATTTGTAGAACTGACTGTTCTGTTTGGAGTTTAAGGATCTTGGTTGTTTCTGGAAGCAGTACAGAGGTTGTCCAAAACGCTTAATTTGATGAATGCCTCTAGGATTGAAGCTGTTGCTCAGGCTAACTAAGAATGCCAATTTTCACACTGTTTCACAGATAACCAGTTTCCTCCTTGCTCTGGTGGTCTGTCACAGGTGGTTATTGTTACCCCAAGTGTGAATTACAACAGAGAGCAGATGCCACTCTGCTCTTATTATTTGCCTCTCAAAGTGTCAGTTTATTCCTCCTGTCTACCTAGCACAGTGTTTGTTTGAAGAAGATTTGCTCATATCACATTATTTCATGTATGAAAAATATGGACCAGATGACCCTTCCAACCTAGGTGATTCTGTGATATATCACAAACTATGACATCTAAAAGTTAGCTGCTGTTGAGAGGACAAAGTGTCCTTTGTGATACAGAATTTCCACTGCTCATGAGACTCAGATCTGCCATTCTGATTAACCCTCTGATGCAATTGAAATGTAGAGTTGTAAGCAGATGTTTCTGAGAGGATTTTACCACATAAAATGCAGGGCAGGAATAAATCTTAGGTGTCAAATCAGCAGCCCTGATTTGTTCCCTGACCATTGTGCCTTTTTTGTTTGCTCCATAGGTTCTCAGGCAGCTGCAGCAGGGCCTGGCAAAGTGCTACTCGGTGGCCTTTGAGAAGAGTGGAGCTGTTTCAGATGCCAAAATCACTCCTCACACACTTAATTTTGTCAAGAAGTTAGTCAGCACTTTCGGTGTAGGTCTTGAGAATGTCTCCAATGTCTCCACCATGTTTTCTAGTGCAGCCTCAGAGTCACTAGCTCGGAGAGCACAGGCAACAGCTCAAGATCCAGTGTTCCAGAAGCTAAAAGGGCAATTTACAACAGGTAAATGTTCAAAATGGGTTTTAAAATGTTACTTTTATTCTTCAGAGAGATCTCCCCCAGGTCAGCTGTATAGGCATTCTGCTTTTTCACTCCAATATCTTTCCTGAGAGAAAATGTAGCAAACAGCACCTTTCTGTCATTCACCAAAGCTGAAATAGTTTGTTGCAGTATTCTGTGGAGTAATAAAGGTAACTCAAGGGAAAAACACCAAATAGAGAATGAGTATATTGTGGTATTTTTATTCCCTAAAACTATGGTGTGATCATATATGTGTTCAAAGATGAATTAAATGACTTCACTATAGTATTTTTGCAATGTGCCTATTGTGTCAGAGGAACAATAATCATCTTTGGTTTACAATGATGCCAGAATTTATTGGAATTTTCACCCCAGAACTCCCAACTGACAATATTCTGTGAAGTCTTTCAAAACAACCTCATTCCGCTGAGTAAGATTGCTTTAGTGTCTTGGATAACTGGGTGATAAAAATCCCATTACTTAATTTTACATTGTTTAGGAAATTGAATCAATAACTTTAATCAGACCTAATACAAAAGATGCTTAAGGGAAGTAGCTTTTTAGCCTCATTTGTTTTCTCTTAAGCAGTGGTTACATATTTGAGGAGCTGATGTTGATTTCACATTGTAAGAAACACAGAAGAGCGTGGGTTTGATTTGTGTAGTGAAATGTGTGATGGCCACACAGCTCTCTCTGACAGAAGATGACACTGATGGTCATCTCTTTGAGTTCTTTGAAATTAATAGAACTGTAATGACGGTAGTGAAGATAGCAAAGGCTGTTGGAGCACTCTGACAATGTAACTAATAGTTGTAAACCATTTGTAGGCCATGCCTGATGTCCTTCTGCCACACCAGAACATTCACTTTGTTTTCCCAGTTCTCTGTACCAGTTGCATTTTTGTGATGGACGGATAATTCGAGTGCTTGCCTTCCATTCCGAAAGGAACCAAGCTGAGAATCTGTCTTGGAGTAAACTGTTTTCATCAGTTATTTCCAGATTGATTTTGCTTCTGAAAGCAGAGGCAAAACTGCCTCAATTGTCCCTTTGTGGGCAGACTTTGGATCAGCTTCTTCCTGCAACCACCTCTCCACTCAGGAATGGAGAAGTCCAAAATACACCCTTAAAGGGCAAGATAGGTTCCCTGGGAGTTTTGTCACCCAGCACAAGGAGTTCTTCACTGTGAGTGGAAACTCTGTAATCAGAGGGAACCCCTTGAAGTCCTGGTGTGCCTCTGAACTGTGGGGAGAGAACAGGGCAAAGAGTTAATGTTATCCACAAGATCCAGATCAAGAGATTGTGGAGTTAGCATCGTGTTTGACCTTGGTCTGGTCTTTGCAGTCTTGGTTTTCTGGAGCTGAGTGATAAACAAGAAGTCCTACTTCATGTTTCTGCTCTGCTGCCACTGAATTTCTCAGGTTTATTGATGCTTTCCAAAGGTTCTTGTGAGATTAGACAGAACTTTGGGGCCAGTCTAGAGTATGTAAATGTTTGAATGATTATTTCAAAAGCTAGACAGCTCTTTCTTCTTGGAGAATGTTTGGATCATCTTCAGGATCATGTGCATAAAGAATTGGACCTGCTCTATGAAGCTAAGCTTACGTATCCTGAGGGATAGCTTACATGTCTTTGAAGTCTTGGCTTTTTAGGTGAAGATCTTTGAACTGTGAACTTGTAAGTGTAATTGGGCTTTGTCTGTGTTGGAAATGACCTGTTCCTTGCTCTAAAAGCATTAATGGGCTGTTGCTTTGCCTTGATCACAGCTACTTTCTGCCAGTGTAGCAGAAGTGTCTGGGTATTTTTTAGTTCTGCAGTCTTGGTTTGGAGGTCTTTGTTTTGTTAATGCTACTTTAATGTTCTGTGGGTCAAGGGTTTGGATAGACAGAGGGTTTGGTACTCTGATTTTGCTACCTCAAATTTGGTGTTGCTTCATGACTGCTGATGGTCCAGCCCTCAATCAACGCGTGTTCAGCTTTATCTGGTTGTGTTAAGAGCCATAAGGACTTTTTGAGGTCTGTCTCCCTGAGAGGAAGGTTGTGCTATGTTTGTCCTTTCATTGAGAGTGGCAGAAACTTTGGCAGCATTGAGAAGAAAGTTCAAACTGCTTCCATTGCAGTCTGTGCCATGGGCTTCTAGGAACATCTGCATTGAAGATGAGGGGGGAAACTTCCCATTCTGTTCAGGAAAAGATGGTGCAAGTAGTAAGGTGTTTTAGAGCAGTGAGTGTTAGCTTGTGAAAGATGTTCTCCAGTACTAAGTACTCAAAAAATAGGAGTTTTTTTAATATCAAACTCACTTTTCTATAGATTAAGATACCTGCAAAGCAGAGAGATTTTGTACACAAATAATGGTTGATCTTGTATTTCCCTTCCTTCCACCTGAACTGATTTTTCTGCTCACGTGGACTCTGTGACACACACAGAAAGACTCATTGAACTCTCTTTTCCATCTGGGAAACAAAACAACAAAAAGCCTCAAACAGGCATTCACCAAACTAGAGTTGCTCTTGTGGTGAACTGAATTGTAAGGCATATTTATTGGTGTGTATTTTTACTCTTGGATGATTCCCATTAGCACAAGGACTAGCTGCAGTTTGAGGATACTTCCCTGCACTTCAGAGATCCAGGAGATAAATGATGCAATGATTGTGATTGTGTCACTTGGATGAAATTATTTCCTCCCAGTGCTCACTAGAGGGTAGGCTTGGGATTGTAATCAGTGTTTTACAGTGAGATGCAAGAGATGCACTGCCCATACCAGGCAGAAAAAGAAAAGGGAATATTAGAGTTTCTCACATCCTCAATATGAAACTGTATGTTTCATGATAGACCTTTTTCTTACAGAAGTGGAAAGGATTTTGTATGTGCTTGTTGCTGCTTTAGACTAGTGAACTTAAGACTTTCACTGAAAGCTTTTAGCATATCAGTATATTGTGGCTACACAGTGAAATATGTTATACGTTCCCTGATAATTATGTTTCAATTGCAGAATAATGAAAGGAATCTAAGGCTGAATTCTTTTGTCTGACATTAGCATACATGGAAAGAAAAGAACTGAGAGGAGACAGTGTCTAGAATGATATGAACTCTCCTGGCTAAAAGAGTAAAGCTTGTTGGTAGGAATTTTGGACAGTTTTGAGTGCTTTCATTGTGGTTGAAATAAGCTTTTCTATGCAGTAATTGCTGTGCACATGATTTAATTCATTCCTGGCACACTTGCCTGTAGCATAGTTGGTCAAATTAATTTCTTCTCTGAAGAAGAAATTTCATGTGGTTTTGGGTTTCGTGTCAGCTTCTGTATGTAACATACTGAACCAAAGGTTCTGCAATAAGGTTTAACCTAGTTTTTGAGACTTTATTTTCTGCTGCATTAAACCATAATTCTGTTGTGCTTTAGCTGTGAATTTCAGAAGTACTGAATTGATGCTCTCTGCTTTTCTTGTTGCTACTTTTTCACTTGAGATATATTGCACTTCAAGTGGCATTTTTAAGGTTCTGCTGTGGAAATGCTTTTGAAAAATTCAAGTCTCTTAGTTGACTTGCACAATTTGGGAGGCCATAACCAATGAACTTTACAGAGCAGAGTTTGTGATCTTATCCAAGTGCATTTAATCTCTCACTGTTGTGGTACTGAAGTGCTGAACCATCATGTCATGTATGTGCTTTATTAATTTTCCCTCTTTGGGGAAATTCAAAGACATTTAATTGTTTCTTTGCTTTGTTCTGGATCTGTAGTGAGAGCAGTGCTGGGAAGATGGGATTGGTGTGCCCCAAAAATGATCAGTTACAGAATTAGTTGGATAATGTATTGAAGATCATGTACTGACCTGGGAAAAGCTCTTTCATAGAATCAGCTTGGTTGGAAGAGACCTCAAAGATCGAGTCCAACCCTACCATCCTTACTAGACCATGGCACTAAGTGCCACATCCAGTCTCACCCTGAAAACCTCCAGGAGTGGTGAATCCACCACCTGCCCGGGCAGCACATCCCAATGCCTGATCACTCTCTCTGTAAAAATTATCTTCCTAATACCCAACCTAAACCTCCCCTGGCAGAGCTTGAGTCTGTGCCCTCTTGTCCTCCTGCTGGTTGCCTGGGAGAAGAGACCAACCCCCACCTGATTCCAACCTCCTTTCAGGGAGTTGCAGAGGGTGATAAGGTCTCCCCTGAGCCTCCTCTTCTCCAGGCTGAACACCCCCAGCTCCCTCAGCCTCTCCTCATGGCACTTGTGCTTCAGTCCCTTCACCAGCCTCGTTGCTCTTCTCTGGACCTGCTCCAGCACCTCAGTATCCTTTCTGAACTGAGGGGCCCAGAACTGCACACAGTACTCAAGGTGTGGCCTCACCAGCACCGAGTCCAGGGGCAGAATCACCTCCCTGGTCCTGTTGACCATGCTGTCCTGATCCTGGCTACTCTCCAGCTACTCTGTCCCCAGCCTGGAGTGCTGCATGGGATTGTTATGGCCAAAGTGCAGGACCAGCACTTGGCCTTGTTAAATCTCATTCTGTTGGAATCAGCCCATCTCTCCAGCCTATCCAGCTCCCTCTGCAGAGCCCTCCTGCCTTCCAGCATAGTCCACCTGCATGTGGACTAAAGGAGATCGTTCCATCGTGCAATATGGTGAATACTACAATGGAAAGAGCATAATGTATTTTTTTGCTCAGGCTGTCCCATGTGCTCTTCCTCTAGTGACTTTCAATTGTTCTCTAAGCCAGGAAAGAACAACAAATTCCCTCAGAATAAGGTATTGTGGTAATAATAATTTTACTACTTGTCCTGCAGTTGCTCCCAGATTCTATGTGGCATCCTCAATTGAGGCTCTTTCATCCCTTTTAAAAGCAAAAAGTCTTTTTCTAAAAAATCTCCATTGATTTGAAATAAATAAATAAATGGCCTGTAATGAGATGGACAGAAAATTATAGAGCTAGACTGGAAAAAGTAAGCCTATTTTTCCCTCTTTGCTAAATGATCTGATCTAATAATTCGGGGTTTTACTGCTTTCTTTCTCTGCAGTGTCTGGTTGCAATACAATAGCTCAATACAGAAACAGGATTTAACTTTTTCACAATGTTTTTCTAATGTTTGTATGATATAAAACAGGGAAATCTTGGGCAGTTCATTATGTACAAATAAACAAATGTACTAATAAATAATTGAACAGAATATTTTAGAGCTGCGTACAGCGAAGGGCAGATTTTGACAGGGGTAAGTTTAGATATAAAGTTAGGACTTTGCCAGTGTAGAGCTGAAACATTGCTCAGAGCCTGTCCAGTAAAGACAGTGCAGCTCTGTGTGTGTGTGTGTTTGGCACTATTAAATTGATTAAATAATTTGCTTTTGTTTGCTCATTCTTTGCAGATTTTGACTTCAGTGTGCCAGGGTCAATGAAACTTCACAATCTGATCTCTAAGCTAAAGAAATGGATCAAAATCCTGGAGGCCAAAACTAAACAGCTTCCAAAGTTCTTCCTTATAGAGGAGAAGTGTCGCTTTCTGAGCAACTTCTCAGCTCAAACAGCAGAAGTAGAGATACCTGGAGAATTCCTGATGCCAAAGCCAACACATTACTACATCAAGATTGCAAGGTAACCTCAGAATATCCATTGGTACTTGTAATTCTGAACACAGAGAAGAAAATGCAAACATCCATCCATCCTCTCTGCAAAAGAGATATCACCTACAACTGATATATATTCCATGTATAGAGTCAGACTTTGATATGCTTTGAATACTTCAATACTTTTAATAGTATTACATTTAAAATAAAGTATTATTTATTTTTATACTTTTTAAGTACAGTATACTATGCTTAAATACTTTATATATGCTATGTATATAAATGTATTTATACTATATGTAAAGTGTAGCATGCTATTGAAATCCTCTAAGTATAGACATACTATAGATAGAAATATATTTATGCTATATATATACAGACATTAAGTGTAGTATACTTAAGTACTTAATGCTTATGTATTTAAATACTTTATATACTTATATCATTAAGTACTTTATACTCAGATACTTTATTTATTTATTTGATTTTCTCCTCCTTCCATAGCTTTCCATTGCATCCCTAAACAACTGTACTGTCAAAAGAAGAATATGTTTGTTTGCTTTTGTGTTGATGTGAGATTGATGCTTCTGTTGTAATCAATAGAATTCCTGTCCTTTAAAATAGTGACAAAGGTCTGATCTGATGATGAATTTTGCTCAGGAACTGTGTTTTCCTGAAAAGAAATTAACAAAATCCAACAGAAGAGCTTTGCGACTACAAAATAGAAACTATAGATTAGGTGGATAATAAATTTGAATAATAAGTTTTAGGCTGGATGTCAGGAGAAGATTCTTCCCCCAGAGGTGTTTGGGCACTGAACAGCTCCCCAGGGCAGTGGTCACAGCCCCAAGCCTGACAGAGGTCAAGGAGTGTTTAGCCAATGCTCTCAGGCACAGGGTGGGATTCTCAGGGATGACCTGTGCAGGAGTTGGACTAGATGATCCTCAAGAGTCCCTTCCAGCTCTGATTCTTCTGTGATTCTATAAGTACTTCTAATTGTACTTCTATACTGTCCTTCTAATGCAGTTGTGTTGCCTTACTGATTTCTCTGTTGCCTTATTGATCTCTTTGGGTTGGCTTTCTTGTTATCCCTTTTGTCCCAATAGGTTTATGCCAAGAGTGGAGGTACTTCAGGTGCTTTGTTTTTTGTCCCTTTCTTCCTGGTAGGTTTATGCCCAGGGTGGAGATAGTTCAGAAGCACAACACTGCTGCTCGCAGGCTCTACATACGTGGCCACAATGGGAAGATCTACCCGTACCTAGTGATGAACGATGCGTGTCTGACTGAGTCGCGCCGGGAGGAGCGTGTGCTGCAGCTCCTGCGCCTACTCAACCCCTGCCTGGAGAAGAGGAAGGAAACCACAAAGAGACATTTGTTTTTCACAGGTACTGAAAACAGATCTTTATTCTCTTTAAATATGTGTTTTACTCAAACAACAAGTGACTACTCTACTCTACTCAGGCAACACTGGCACAGGTTGCCCCGGGAGGCTATGACTGCCCCAGCCCTGGCAGTGTTCAAAGCCAGGTTGGACAAAGCCTTCAGCAACCTGTTCTGGTGGGGGATGTCCCTACTCAGGGCAGGTGGTTGGCACTAGGTGATCTGTAAGGTCTAAATATGTGTTTTACTCAAACAACAAGTGACTACTCTACTCTACTCAGGCAACACTGGCACAGGTTGCCCCGGGAGGCTATGACTGCCCCAGCCCTGGCAGTGTTCAAAGCCAGGTTGGACAAAGCCTTCAGCAACCTGTTCTGGTGGGGGATGTCCCTACTCAGGGCAGGTGGTTGGCACTAGGTGATCTGTAAGGTCCATTCCAACCCTTAAAATTCTATGATTCTATGAAGATTAGAATTGCTAAGGTTTTTGACAGTTCCTCATTGCTGATCCTGGAGATTTTGAGCGTTCAAAAGGTCAGTTCCCATCTGGGTGGGTGGTTAGTCTTGTGTGGCATTGTGGCTCCTCCTCTGCAGAAGTAAAGTTGGTTGCATGTGATCTGGCACTGGAGGATATGGTATAGGAATTGCTAAGGTTTTTGACAGTTCCTCATTGCTGATCCTGGAGATTTTGAGCGTTCAAAAGGTCAGTTCCCATCTGGGTGGGTGGTTAGTCTTGTGTGGCATTGTGGCTCCTCCTCTGCAGAAGTAAAGTTGGTTGCATGTGATCTGGCACTGGAGGATATGGTATAGTATTTACACCAGTGACAGGTTAGGGATTGGACTTGATGATCTTAGAGGTCTCCTCCAGCCTTGATGATGCTATGATTCTATCACAGTCATGTTTTATGGGCTGATATCTTAGGGTTTGGGTTATGGATTGACTGTTTTGTCTTGGTTTGCTCTCTCTGTCCCTCAGTGCCTCGGGTTGTAGCAGTTTCTCCTCAGATGCGTTTGGTGGAGGACAACCCTTCGTCTCTGTCCCTGGTGGAGATCTACAAGCAGCGCTGTGCCAAAAAGGGCATTGAGCATGACAACCCCATCTCTCGCTACTACCAGTGACAGGTTAGGGATTGGACTTGATGATCTTAGAGGTCTCCTCCAGCCTTGATGATGCTATGATTCTATCACAGTCATGTTTTATGGGCTGATATCTTAGGGTTTGGGTTATGGATTGACTGTTTTGTCTTGGTTTGCTCTCTCTGTCCCTCAGTGCCTCGGGTTGTAGCAGTTTCTCCTCAGATGCGTTTGGTGGAGGACAACCCTTCGTCTCTGTCCCTGGTGGAGATCTACAAGCAGCGCTGTGCCAAAAAGGGCATTGAGCATGACAACCCCATCTCTCGCTACTATGACAGACTGGCAACAGTGCAGGCACGAGGGACTCAAGCCAGTCACCAGGTATCTCAGGGCAGAAGGGGTTTAAATCAAGGGCTGTTCTTCAAGACTCTGCCCTGGCTCTTCGCCTTCTATTAGATGTGAAAGACATTTTGAGGAGGTGGTGTTAGAATTTCAGGAGGTTATTTTGGTTTTGCATAATGGAAACTCTTAGATCTCTTCAGTATTTTAGATTATCTTAGAAAGATTAAAAACAAAAGCTCTATTTGTATTACTTTGGGTCAGTGCAACTGAAATCACAGAGGGTGTTGATTGCTTTTTTTCCCAGTTGATAGTGTTTGGGAAATAATTGGTGGCTAGCATAGGAAAAAACATTTCTAATTTACCTAAGCAGTTACAGCATGGGATGAGATTCCCCATGTTCTTCTCATGTTTTGCCTAAAATTGCCCCTGGATGCATTTCATCTAAGCCACACAGAAACAGTTGAGCAATCTCACCCTAGTAAGTGAAGTCCTCAGAAAGAACAAAGCTCTCTCTGTAACCTCCATTAAACAGCCAACTGTGATAAATAAGGTTATTGTATGGGGTTTTATCTTAAGGTTAATTCAATTTCTTCCATAAAATGCCCATTTCAAATAGAGCTGTTCTAGAAAACACAGTGTAGGTGTATTAAAACTTTGTTGGTTACAAAATAAAATGTGCTAGGTAACATTTTTCCTATTTTTAGATGTTGTACTTACAAAACTCTTTAACAGCCATTTGTTTGCAGTCAGTAGGACTGTCATACTTTCTGACAGAACAGAACAGTCCTTAACTTGATTTCTTTGTCTAAATAATTAGGCTACTATATACTATAGTCAATAAATATTTTGGTAGATTGCAAATGTTTACATCTAGGGAAAAAATACCTGCACAGCATGCACTTATGGAAACAGTTGAGTTCAATTTTTTCTGTATTTCTGAGGTCATTTTGCTGTCACAAATTACTTTTCAGTGTCTTTCCTCCCTACCTTATGTAATCCAAATGCTTTCCCTTTTGCCCCGTGATGAGAGAGCTGTGCAGAGCCCTGTGTGGGCAGAATGCTCTGCAAGTCCCATGGTTCATTTCAAATCTTGCCATTATGCTTAAAATCAAGGATTTCTTGTGTTAGTACTGCAAAAAGCATACCCAGCTGGCACTGAAACTAGAAATACTGAAGTATGTTCCCTTAGTTCCCTGTAAGGGAGCAAAGTATCATGAGCTGACTGTCTTTACCTCTGATTTTCTTGCAAGTCTTAAGAAGATACTTCAAATTAGGTTATAGAACTTCTCAGTCTCAGGTTTTCTGACATGTTTGCAGTTCTCATGCTTATGTCTTCATTAAAAATGTGATCTTTACAGATAAATACCATTTCCTAGCTGTGGAGAGGATGAGCTGTAAAATACTGTGTGCTGTGACAAACAAGTCAGGAAACACTGTTGAAGGATTCAGGTTGAGGTTGTTTTTGCTCAAATGAGATGCAGCAGTTAAGAGAAGTTTAGTAGTTGCTTTTGGTCTATTTCTTGCTAAGAAATGTATTAAAAATGATCTCTTTCAACTGCTCCTTTCCCTGTGCAGGTCCTCAGGGATATCCTGAAGGAAGTGCAGAGCAACATGGTGCCTCGCAGCATGCTGAAGGAGTGGGCCCTGCACACCTTCCCCAATGCCACTGACTACTGGACCTTCAGAAAGATGTTCACTATCCAGTTAGCCCTGATTGGCTTTGCAGAATTCATCTTTCATTTAAACAGGCTCAACCCTGAAATGCTACAGATTGCCCAGGTATGTTGTGGTTTGGTCTAGGTTGTGCTGTTGTCTTTGATCATGTGGAAATTTGGACTCTGCTTTGGAAATGACTCAAAATTGGACAGAGATAATAACAGTGGGCATATATAATAACATATATTAGACATATACAGCATCATAGAATCATCAAGGTTGGAAGAGACCTCTAAGATCATCAAGTCCAACCATTAACCTGTCACTGCTGTAACCCCTAAACAATATCCTTCAGTACCTCCAGATGCCTCTTAAACACCTCCCACTAGAGCAGGTTGCTCAAGGCTCATCCAACCTGGCTGTGAACACTGCCAGGGCTGGGGCAGCCACAGCCTCCCTGGACGACCTGTGCCAGTGTCTCACCACCTTCACAGGAAAAACTTCTGCCTAAGATCTAATTTAAATTTCCCCTTTCAATTTCTCCCTATTAATCCTTGTCGTGTCACTGCAGGTCCTGACACAGAGTCTCTCTGTAGCTTCCCTGGAGCCCCTTCAGATCCTGGAAGGTGCTGTGAGGTCTGCACACAACCTTCTCTTCAGGCTGAACAGGAAATTTTGGTTTCATGAGGGAAAATCTGTTCCTTTAATTACTTTTGTGCATCTCTCTCTCCACCCCAGGACACTGGCAAGCTGAATGTGGCTTACTTTCGCTTCGACATCAATGATGCCACTGGGGACTTGGATGCCAACCGTCCCGTCCCGTTCCGGCTGACTCCCAACATCTCCGAGTTCCTTACCACCATTGGAGTCTCTGGGCCACTTACAGCATCCATGATTGCAGTAGCTCGCTGCTTTGCACAGCCAAACTTCAAGGTTTGTGTGCCTTTGGAGAGCTGGCATTATAAACTAAACTGAGACCACACTGAGAGTTACTGGGTGTAGCCGCATCCAACTGGGATCCTGCTGGAATCATACTGGGACTGACTAGGAGCATGCTGGGGGCAACTGAGGTCATGTTGTGGGCAACTGGGACCACACTGAGGGTGACTGGGATCATACTGAGACTTGGGAGTGATTAGGAACATGCTGGGGGCAACTGGGATATACTGAGAGCAACTGGAGTCATGTCAGAGGTGATGGGCATCATGCTGGCATCATACTGGGAATAACTAGGAACATGCTGAGGGCAGGTAAAAACTGAACGGGGCATAAATTTTACCCTAAGTCATCTCAAAGGTTAAGTGAAGTGTTTAAAATTTGCATTTTTTGGAAGTGTTTACTTTGTTCGGTGCGAGCATTGAATTTGCCTCAGACTGTATACCTAAAAGTTTGTTTTTGAAGCTTGAGGCTGTTGGAGTGAGAGATTAATGTCAGTAAATCAGCTCAGTGATGAGAGAAAACCAGGAAACTTTGTTGCAGGCATTTGTTGTTCAGCCAGGGATAGAACTGGCCTATATATACATAGATATATGTATATTAGATACATATGATATCTGTTGTAGTCACTGTTCTTTCCCTGCTTGGCAGAAAACTATTCCCTGAGAGTGTAATGACTGTGCAAGAAGAAGAAGCTTTTACAAATCACTCCTAATCTTTGACCAGGACTTCTGCGTATGTGTGTGGGAGAAGTCATGAGTTCAGTGGAGTCATCTAAAAACAGAATGTATACAGCTGTGTTTGTGTATGAAACCTTCATGTATGTAGTTCATATCTGTAGGAGTCATTGTGTTGTGTTTTCATAATTAAAGCTTCTTGGGGAAAGAAGCAGCTTGAGAGGAAATAGTGAAGACAGTTGGAAGCCAGACTTGTCTGGGAAACACTAACATGGCAATGTGGCACCAAAAGAGTCAAAATGCTGTTGACCGAAATCTGGTTACAATTCTGCAATCTGATAGAATCTGATAGTTTTGTAGTGTGGTAAGGGGTTGGAATGGAGCT